AGAGATAGACTCCATTTAAAGACTATATAAAAAATGCTATTTTTGGAAAAGGAAACTAAACTAAGAATAGATAACCAGAGAATCTCAGACAAAGGCTAGTGCACCTTCCCATGCTTTCTTAAGCATTTAGCAATCAAATTTAGCCTTCAGCTGAACTGCTTTCACTTTAGGTAATATTTAATTATGTAGATGATTCATTTGCAGTACTAAATCATCACAACATTCTCCAAAAACAACCAAAGATTAGAAATACCGGCAGCCTACTTTGACCACCTATCTTAAAACTGCATCTTTCCCCATCCCCAAGTTGACACTCTTCTTACCACATTCTACTTTCTTCTTATAGCAATTATCATCTTCTAATACACTACACTTTTGAAATCGGAAACTCATCTCACCTCCCACCCCACCCCCCACCAACATGGGGCTCTAGTGACAGGCCCCAGAAGCTGCTTGCAGGCAGTGCAAGCAGCAGTGGGTGGTGAGCATTTTACTGCCCTCCACTGGGGCTCAGGCTGCAGGCAGTGGCTCTTCTAGCACCCTGCCCCAGGGTATGCAGCCCTACTGGAGCTACAGAGACACGGCTGCCCAAGAGGTAACCGCTAGCCCCCCAGCCCCTGGTTCAGAGCTCAGGGAGGAGCATGGGGCTCCACTGCACCAGCTCCAGAGCGTGGCTCCCTCCACCTGCAGGCAGTAGAGAGGCCTGTGGATTTGGTGCTTGGATCGTAAGGTGGATGGATCAGGGGAGAGATATGAGCTGACAGTGCTAAGGTCCAATTAGCCACAGGATTAAAAACAGTAATGGGTGGAAACCCTGAAAAAGGATATAAGGCAGGGCAGGCACCAGTTTGGGAGATACTCTGTTCCTGACTTCCAAAGAAGAAAGGAGCAGCAGCCGACCTCCAAAGACAGAAGAGAAGCCGTAACGCTTCACAGAGAAGCCAAAGAGCTTTGTAGAGACTAGGGGCTACCGCCCCCAGTCCTGCCTCTGACATAAACTAAAAAGGAGCACCAAAAGCCCTGGGCCTGGTGTCTCGAAGAACTGTATGTTGTTGTGGGCCACCAACTCACAAGGAGCTGTTAACACAGTGCTTCTGACACCGTCACCTCTTGGTGACCAGGCAGGTGACTGGCGCTACTGGCTAGTGCTGTCCAGCACTGTTGACGGGTGACCAGCACTCTGTGTACGGGTCACCTCTGGGAGCTGTTAACCACTCCTGGTCATCTGGCACTGCCACCGGGTGCTGCTGCCTCCATTGCTGTCTGGTTCAGTGTCCGGGGCTGTCCCTTCCAACCTTCAGACTGTTTCTGTGTGCTGCTGTGTTGTCATCTCAATGACCCCACCTTTGAGTACCTCCCACTGTGGTGAATTGGATCATGACCTGCTGTTTGCTTCGTGTCATGAGCTCCAGGCCATCCTTAATGGGGCAGTACCATCTTGGATGAGCAGCCTTTTGTTTGGGACTTTGGGACACCATGGACACTATCTGGGGTGAGACAGCCTTGAGACCTCTTTGTTTCCGCTGTTTGTTAGATAAACCCTGCTGTTGTTGTTTCCTAAGCTTCAGTGGTCTTACAATTATGTGTACTGGTAAAATCTTAGAGAGTGTTACCGGCACTGGGTGGTGGACCAAAGTAGGATGATTCCTCTGGTTTAACGGAAGCAGCATTCTCAAGATGAGTTACCTAGCTGCACGCCTCCGATGGATTAGAACAGGGGAGCATTGTACAAAAATGGGTGATTGCCTAGTCTTTATCACCAAAGTGTTAGATTAATTAGAGAACTCATTAATTAGAGAACTCCCAAGTCTCTGCTATCAAATAAGAAGGAATTTCAGGTGGTAATTATTTAAGATCCTGCATTTCTGTATGTGTGCTGGGCTTGGCTAAGGTGGAGGTCTGGAAAAGGCAGCAGATACATGCAGCATAGATGTCTGGGATCATTCATAGCTCTGCCTTAACAAAAAATGTTAAGAAACAAAATTCTTCTCTTATGTGAAACTTGTTCCATAACAATGGAGAAGACAACTAAAATTCATTTCACCAAAACCCAGAAAAGGTGGGGAACACACAGAATGGGCAGGTCTTTAGAATCTTATCCCCACACAAAAAGAAATCATGTAGTATCCAGAGAAAAGAGATGGTATGGCAGCTGGGGAGAATTAATAACCAAAGGGTATGAATCAGCTCAGCATCTGAAAACACCTACAGGTTCTGTCAAACCTGCCCGCACTCTTCAAGAGCTTCAAGGCTCACAAACAGGAAATTACTGGTATGACTTAACCTGACTCAACCTCCTTAGAGAAGATCTTGCCCCAAAAAGTTTATGAACAAAGTACAGAGCCGAAAGGTGAAAGGTAAAGAATGAGTTCAAGTTCAAAGTATGGGGCATTTAGTGGAAAGAAACAGTTAAGCACTGGGCTCAAAATGATCAATATGTTCACCAACTGTCCAACACTTCATAAAAATGAAGAGATAAAAGTGAATTACAAAGGGACTTGTGAAGATATCAGTGTACACTGGTCATTTATTCATGTGTTCATTCGCTCAGGGTGTAGTGTGGTATATCATTTGTCAGGATATTTTCAGAAACAAAACTTGAATTGATCTAAACAAGTAAAAGAATTTATTATCTCACGCAACAGTGTTGCCCAGAGGTAAAGCTGGCCTGGGACTTTGGTAGCTCAACATTATCATCAATGACCCATGTTCTATCTTTCTATTTTGCCCAGGCTCACCACAAATTCATTCCCTGGCTCCGGGACTGGAGTTGTGGCCAGCTGCCCTAGGGCAGGTGCAAAAGAGTAAATATCTCAATCAAATCAAGGTTGTATTAGCAAGAAAGGGTCTAATGGTGACTGGGTGGGCCCCCGAGATACCTGGCTATCTCTCGTCAATATTCACTGAGCACCTGCCAGGTGTCTAGTTCTTCACTGGCGATACGGAGACAAGAAAGTGCTTGCCCACAGGAGCTTACAGAGTAATGGGGGAGACAAAAATTAACAAAATAACTCTGGGAATAAAATAAAATTGCAGCTGTAGTCAGTTCTATGTTGAAAAGCATGTGATGCCATGAGAGCGTAAGCATAACAGGGGAACTAGGTTAGATGAGGGGGATGTGAGAACTCCCTGAAGAAGGGACTGGATGGGGGATGGAGAAACACATGAAATGGCCAAGGGGAAGGATGGACTATATATAGCACATTCAGAAACAGTCTCCAGATGTAAAGCAGACAGGGAAGGTGAGTTTGGAGCAAGATGCAAGCCAAAAAGGGAGGCAGAAGACAGACCACATGAGCTGTATACAATAGAAGAAAATATTAACATATTTTTTTGACTTTCAAAATCTTACACATTCTATTTCACAACAAGTTTTACACAAAATAGGGCTGTAAAATGTACTGGTGCACAAAGGCTTTGAGAATATTAAATAGTCATTGCTTGTCTTTTCAAAGTGACTACTTCTAGTCCTTTCACTTAGAATACCCCACAGGAGGTGGGGAGGGGAGAAGCAAGGAGGCCGGACCTGGGTACAGACCTGGAGTCTGGGCTGAAAGATGAAGCCATGCACTTGTAACTGACCAAGAAAGGAAGGAAATAATTAAAAGGGCCAAAATAGGAGAAGGAAGTAGAAAGTGGCTGTGGCTTGGAGAGAGAGTTGAATGGGACCAGGGGGCCTGGTTGGGGGCTCAGGGTGCGGAGTAACAAGATGTGGACGGTGAGCTGTGGGATGCGGGACGACCTAGAAGCATAGAGAACAGAAGGACTCTGCCGAGGGCCAATCAGCCCCACATGTTTACTCTTCCTGTATTCTGAGTAGGAAACAAGGGAGACTGAGGAACTCGGTCCACCTCTGTACTTCTGGGGATGTGCTTGACACTAGGCAAGAAATTACACAAAAATTATTCAAGGTGAAGTGCCATAGAGTCCTCTCTTAGCAAATAAAAACATGCCTTGAGAATAAACAACACTCTCACGTCTTCACGGGGCCAAAATATATCTCTTACTCTGGTTTTTACAATTTTTCAATAGCTGAGTAAAAATGACAAAATTAACCATCTTCTGCCCTTCCAATACTTAAGAATTTCCGTGGTGACAAACTATGCATTTCTACCACATGGATGAGCATGTCACTAAACGGACTCTCATCCTCCAAAACAGACATTTAATGTGTCAAAAATCTTCTCAGAGAAAACCCGGCCCTTTTTGAAATGAGATAACTAATCACCTAATGAAGAGGCAGTCTTTTTCTCATGGAAAATCAACTACATGGTCTACTAGAAGGAAAGGCGTGGGCCATGGCCAATCAAGTTTACAAAAACAGTAAACATAACAAGCCACAGAACAATTAACACATGTGGAAAAAGCAAAACAGCACCAGCCACACAGCTGATTTGATTTTAAGAAAATTAAATCAGTTGTAGAAAGAAAAGGAAAAGTGAATATATGTATTAAAAGACAATAGCAAAACAGCCTAAGAGCACAGTAAGAACACTAAAAGCAAAGTAAAACTACTTTGAATTAACCTATGAAATTAGGAAGTGGTTCTTATGCATGTATTTTATCACTCAGGAATGACAGCCAGGTCTCTTCCAGAATCCTGACTATTAACACAAAACATTGACCCATGGAGATGGTCGTTTAAAAATAGGGACATAATGCATTTTCTTAAATATAGCTGCTAACTACGAGCCCACAGATACTGTAGGCACATGGGGAAGAGGAAAATCATTCAATTCAATGAGCTAGTGATGTTATACTTACTGTACAAAACTGGGGAGGAAAGAGAGGCAGAGACAGGTCAAAACGCATTCAGTGATTACTTTCATCCTTTTTTGGTTTTACCAAGTTGTGTGTATATATTTGTGATTTTTACCCCAAGATATATGAAAAAAAATGACAATAAAAGGTTATCCAAATGGAACAATGGTCTTTGGTTAAGTGTCAAGCACAAAAAGAATCATCATTTTTTTCAAGGAGCTTTCAAAGTATGTACTCACTTGACATCTGCTGATTTCCCCTTCTTCAAAACTCAAAGCTCCTCTAAATTAAACATAAGCTTGTTTTCAGAATCTGCAAAATATATGTGGATAAAATTCAAAGTTTTAGAAAGGAAGTTGCCATAGAAACACACAACTCCCTAAAAGAGCAATCCATAGTCTCTTAAGGAGACCCGGCATCACGGAAATTTATTCAGTGTCTGTGTGTGCACTTGAGGCCAAAGACAATGCATAAAGGACGGTCAGCACACACACTAGACAAATACACAAATTAAATAAGTCAATTACTTCAAGTGAAGGGTGATGAGTCCCTTTTTGTGAGAGAGTGGTGAGGGAAGGGGAGGAACCATGTGGTACAGCTGAACCCTGTGGTACAGCTTGCAGCCATCATGAAAAGACTTATTTAAAACACAATTCCACAACAGTCTGGGCACTGCACACAGTTATCGCTATGGACTGTTTTCTATGAATTCTTTCAAAATGTGGATGTAAGTACTAGAAGCAGCACTTACAAAAATAGCTTTATTTTTACTAGCAGAGTAGACTCAAGCTAAAAATAAACTAAATGGGAATTCTGAACTGCAGACTTTTCAAAAACACAGTGCCAGGATACCTAAGACAAACACCATCTCTTTATTAGAAACTTCTGTGCAGCATTCCATAAAGGCCACCCGATTTTCAGCCAGACCACAATTCTTCAGACTTGGTCTTTTTTGAGACAAAGGAACCCTATGGTGATAATATCTAAGCTGGAGTTCTGAATCCAACATTTATTGGTCCTTATGGAAGGATTTCTGCTCCTGGGCTTTCACCAGAATAGGCCAAATGATCACAAAGCCCTTTGACAATGGGATGACCCTAGGTAGGAGGAAACAAAATAAATATTTTTGAAGGGCTGTGTACTCCAACACTCCATAATCAAAGTTTGGCATTAAAAAAATTAGTCACCTAAGCCATACTTTGCTTAAAGATGTGCTCTTTTCTGCTGTTGGATTTATCTGAGATTGTACTAATGATTTGCAAGTCATCTTAATGTCCACAGTAATGATATTTTTTCTAATAAAACACATGCATTTCACAAACATTAAATATTGAATCCCTGTTAGGTAAATTACTGCTACTATTAACCAAATCTTACAAATGAGAAGAGTGATATAATCACTCATGATCGGCCCCAAATCACAGATGACTAGCATTTGAATGTATTTTAAATAAACAAACAATAAAGTACATGTGCTTATTTGCAAATGTGAATATAAAAGTATCATGATTCGGCATAGTTATGAGCTGATTAAATAGTCATTTAGGGCTGACTCAAAAGCTATTCAAGTTAAATCTAGGTAATGTGGGCCTTGTATCAATAATTGGCATTATTCTGGGGGAAAAACAGAATGTTTAACATCTCATCTTTCCATTACTAAATATAACAGATGACAATCAAGTAGAGGCTAGTGGACCACAGTGCCAGCCACAGACATGATGCATCACTCTGGAACCATTTGAAAGCATTGTGCAACTGGGCAATGGCACCCAACGTGCATCTGGGTGTAGTTACAGGTCTGAAAATGTGAACCGGAGGCAAAAAAGCTGGCTAGATGACTTTGCTCTATCGGATTTCATGGGTAAGAGCAGTTGGACGACTACTCACCCTTTAAAATTCAGACCAGCCAGTCATTCCTTAGGGAAGCTTCTTCTGACCCCTGGACTAAGCTCCAAGATTGTACCCTGACAGATTTCCTCAAACCTCACTTCACTGATTTTCAGACACTGGTTTTCTCAAAAGCTTCCCAATTCAATCACAAACTTCTTAAGGCCGTGACCACATCTGTGTTGCTCCTCTCTGGAGCCCAGGATTGGTGAGACTCAGTAAATGTTCACTGAATGAATTAAGTGCAGTTAAGGATTGGATTTATTTAAGCTATTAATGCCTTTATCTATCAGATAATTTGTTAGCTTGCTGAAGAGCTGATAAAAATGGTGTAGGTTAAAAGAAATAATGTTCCCGAGTATCTCAAAAAATTCAGAGACCAGAGAGCTGCTTATTAATGTGGATTTTCATTTCCTGAAAATGAGGAAACAAAGAATGAAAATGATGGAATGAGGAATGATGGAAAAGAGGAAGCAAAGAATGAGCATAGTTTTCTGTATTTAAAATCTGGAGGGTTAGTTGTATATTCACATATAGAAATATGTGAATGTGTGATAAAAATAGTGAATATGGTTATTCACATATTCACTATTCACCTATCACTGATGCTGCCCATTCTTTTATCTTGAAGGAACATTGTTCTAGGCACAATAGACGAGGCTTAGGTAATTACAGCTAATATTTCAGCATATGTCTCTTATATCTGGAAATATGTCCACTGCTCTGAAAGCAGATCTGGAGTTATTTTTTTTTTTTTAAATAGCAAAAAAGAACCAAGTTGGTCAAACAGAATAACTGATATGGCTGTGAAATGCTCCTAAATTCCTAAAAAGCTGATTTTTTAATGTACCAGTCACAAATAAAGGCAAAAACTCACCTCTCTCCATACAATTAACTTGTCTAAAGAGAACACACACATACATGCCAGACTTTGGTAGAATTCTGTAGTGGGAATTTAAAAGGAAACATCTCACAGCAGTGGAGAGTCACATGGCGACTTCCAGCAGCTCAGATATTCTCCATCTACATAAAAGAGGGAAAGGCCCTCATGCTGCAATTGTTTGATAAACAGACTGCGGTGGTCTTCTTACTTCTCTTCTGATGTAAGTGAAAATATAACTTCTTGGTGCTATGTATGGAAGGCATGAGGCAAAGGCAATGTAGTAATTACAATACATATTTAATTTCTCAGACCAAAATTTCTGAGACTTTCTGCTGTAAGCAGCATCATAATTTTTACTTCAATTCAAAAAGAATAATGTGTGATTTCCTAAAAGAACCCATTCACCTCTTCAGAATTAGAACTATTTTTTAAAAATAGATTTAGAGTGCTATTTTCATTGGACTGTTTATAAAATTATTAAAACTGAATGGTTTTTAGATTTTATAAATCAAGATCAAAAGTAGATGATCTCTTCATCTTATAAAAAAAAGTATACACATTACTATCATGTGAAAGTACAAAATGTTTTAGCCATTCATTATTCTTTGGGAATGAATATTTCTACATAGTTTAGTTTCCTAGACAGTTGAAGGGTTCCAGAGTTTTCTTAAAGTAGAAATATTTCAAAATGGACCCAAAGATGTCCCATATCTTAAGGCATCTAAGATTAGAGTCTAAACATATACTTTTTTTCCTTGACAGCTTATTATTGAAAATATCTACTCACATGTATACACTGAATATAGTTCAAAATGTCAAAGGTCTGTGGTCATCAATGAAAATATATATGATTGGTCAACAGAAAAGGAAGAATCCTATTTGACCCTCACAGAACTCTGAAATTTGTCCTCTAGGAAAAAAAAATTCCTGGTGTCATTTTTTATATTGGTTATTTTCCTCTTCCTCATGAAAGTAGGGAGAAAGCAACTAAGTACTTCTCTTTGAAAAACTAGCTAGTGAATCAAAGGTTAAAGAAGTTTCCTGACAAATGATTTTTCTGTTTTCTAAGTGGGTATCTGCTTTTGGCTGCCTCTGCTTTTTTTTTTAAAGATTTATTTATTTATGCATACAAGAAATGGGGTACAGGCCAGAGGCATGGGAAGGTGAGAGGATTCACCAGAGACACAGTGGGGAACAGAACAGGCAGACTGACTGAAATACACTGCTGAGGGGAGCAGTGGGTGAGTCAGGAGAGGTCTGCTGCGCCACGCGGGCAGCTCCCTGGCCAGCTGGGGATCAAATCTAATGCTTGTAGTGGCTGGGACAGCCCCGTAAGTTGGGTCTTAACCCCTTGCACCACCAGGGAGTTGAAGTTTCAGCCTGCTGAGGCTCCCAAGAATTTCTGGCCAGTATGTACTTACCCCACTTTCTAACTGGCACTGAGTTTTAATTCAAAGGGGACCACCCTTGACCAGTTCACAAATCTGAGTTCATATGGGTGGGGATCCAATGTTTCCCTTCTTTTTGCTGAAATAGTCTTATTAACTGTAGAAAGAAACTGGTACCATTTCTTAAAAAGGGCATTTTGGCTTCCTCTATGTATAGATATCAAAATACATTCTTTGACCTGGTAAATTGCTTTTGGGAGAATTCCCCTAAGGAAATCACTGGATATATAGACAAGGATGTGCAAAGAGGCTCACTGATAAAAGTAAAGTTTTGCTAAACTTCTCACTTCAGGGGATTGGTTAAAAAAAAAAAAAGGGAAAGTCAAACAATGGAAAACTATTCTTTCATCAGATGTTTAAATAATATTGTAGACCTCCATTGACTGAAACATCAAGATTTCCACAAGATATTAAATGAAAAAATACTTTTCAAAAAGATGTGTGGGTGGATATAAGAAAAAAATCTGGAAAAATACGGATTAGATGTTACCAAACGATCTTGGGAGCTCTTAGAGTCTCAGTCATGTTTTGACGGTACCTCCAGACCAAAACAAATATCTAACACAGCTGTCTGCTAAGTAGTTACAGCCAAACAACTTTAAAAAAAAGTATCTGTGTCCCAACGACTAGGTAAGCTATTTGCAAAAAATAATACATGAAGTAAAAGCACCATTTCTCCCCTTTTAAATGTTTCCTAACAACTTACTAATAGAATGGATGCATCTGTTGGGCAATCAAAACTTTTGATTTTGGAATCAAATTGGACACCATTCTCCTCATTTCCTGGTCCGCATTGGTTTTCAAATGGTACTACTCACCGTTTCTCACTAAAAACACAGCAATCACTAAGAACCCAGTTTTGATATGATGTCATCAAAAGGAATGGAGCACAATTTTATGTTGAAACTGTGAATTACCTCCAACATGGTGTTGGACAGATGTGTTTCCCTTGATGACAGAAAATATCAACCTCCTGAGTGTACTGAGGTGCCCCAGAGCATGCTGGCACACAGCTTGGGAACTGCAGACACATGACAATATTAACAGCTGCTTTCTCTTGGGTTATAGGTGATTTTTTTTAAAAAGATTTTTCT